TTACAATATTATATTGTCAAGGATAAACACTCCAGGTTCAGATATAAAACCAATACACTAAGATACAGTTTAAACTCTACTGAACAACTACGTTCAATAAAAACACGATTATGTAATGTATTTACAAAACAAACTAAAAATGCCTTTCCTTGAACTTTCACTGGAGTATCCATGTAATTGAACATTAAGTTCCTCAAGATAGGGTTCAGCCCAATATTCTTCAAGTTCTGCTCTTTTAATTTTAAAAGAATTCAAGTCATGCTCAAATAAACATATGACTTTGATTAACCTAGCCGTCATTTGTCATTTGAGACACTTACTCATACTCACATACACATCCCTTTTAAATATGAGGTGGTGTAGGGAATGGATAGAAAACCACACCTCTGTGAACCTCTGCTTACAGCCAGGGAGGAATCAAAATCTATTCTTATTGTGTGCCAGGTAAAGAGGTCTTTGAGAACAAGGCTGATTATGCAAACACCAAGACAAAACTGGTTCTGTTTCAAGTGTCTCTTGCAGAAGCTTTCCGCTAATGGGACTTTGACTGTTTGGTTACTACTATGATGGCCGAGGGAAAGAAAAAGCAATGAAGGAATGAAAGTACTGCCTTCCTTTCCTTTATCCATGACATCTTCACTCAAAGGACAGGAAATAACTATCAGACACAGAGCTGACAAGAGAGTGATATATCAGGCATTATAGGCTACTACAGAACACCTGAAGTTGCAAGAAGGATCACTCTACCCCAGACATTCTATCTAACAATTTAGTAGGCCTCGAAAAGGATTCATTCACCTATTAATAGGTTAGACTGACTTTATAACAACAATATATTTACAAATTAAAGTCTCCATAATGAAGTGGAGAGCATGACAAGTACCCCAAAAGTACAAAACCATCTCATCACCTTTGGGCTGGTAAAGACAAGAAGTGAGACAATTGCCTTATTTACATGAAGCTCTGAAGCAGCTTAGAGGAGAGAAATCAAGACTGAATATAGGCAGGTAACATGTGCACAGCAGCACTGAAGGGTCTGATCTATAGTGCACACACACTTAGGATAATGCACCTAACACAGTGTGTGTTCTGGAAGCAGCAGCATTTTTCCACCAGGTAATTTTTTAAAAGCTACTCACCACATCAGCAGCTGCTCATAGTAAAAGTTCAGAGTCAACTTTCCAGACCGAATAGATGAGGATGAAGTCTCAGTGCAGACTGAGCCTGAGCAGCAGACTGCAGTGCAGCACCCCCAAAGCCCCACGTTCCCACCCAGAAGGCCCAGCCCAGCTCAGGAGCCGTACCATGTCGACCAGGGCCACGTAGAGGAACATGCCGGCGGTGACGGCGAAGATCCAGAGGGTGATGTTGTTGGCGTACTGGCCCACGGCCGTGCCGATCAGCATGCCGATGTAGGCCATCATGGCCGACAGCAGGTTGTACACGATGGCCTGCTTCACCGTCATCCCCGCCTTCAGCAGCACCGCAAAGTCACCTGCGGGGACAGCACGGCTCTCAGTGCTGCTGCCAGCAGCCCAGACACCCCTCAGCACAGAGTGCTGCTGCTGCTAGTGCTCATGAGCCCCACGGGAACTGATCCCCCTGGGAGAGCTGTACTCAGGCACAGCCATCCCTTGAATAACATGACTGAAAGGGGCCTGCTCATCCTGCTGACTGATTGGCACAAAGGCAGCAGTGGTTAACTGTCAAGGGTGAATGCAGGAGTCTGGGTCTGCTCTTCCCACAGAGAACACACCCATGTGCACACACTCAGGAGTTCTCCATGGCACATAAAACCAGAGGCTTAGTTAGGATCAATACCTGGGAAAATTCCTCTTAGCTATACACACCTCATTGTGCAAATCCACGAAGAGAAAAATGAGGCATTTGTCCCCACAGAAGATGACAATGAATTTGAATCTGAGCACTAGGAAGAGTTACATTCACAAAGAGTGACTTCACATCCACCCTGAATCAGTTTTCTGGGTAAAGGCACGCCAGGGTAATGTGTTTTATTCTGAATTCAGGACAGCTCTGCTAATTTAGGTGCTAAAGTAGATATTCTGTAAAAATCAAGACTTCAGTCTTGTAATCAGCTCTAATAGTTTTACTTCATTCAAACTGAATTCTTGTAATCATGAGAAGTGTAAGATGATATACAGAAATCAGGACAATTAATGTAATATTCTTACATAATGTTCTTATATCCATGCCTGAAATTATCTGCCTAATCTAAAATCAAAAATTAGAATCAAAACATATCAAAATTTTTAAAAAATATTAAAAAATAGGTATAAACTACTCACCCCTTATACCAGGTTCATTTCATCATGCTGTGCTGTCAAGTTCTAAGCATTGTAATATACATTGCAATCCTTTATCTATTGCAGCAGCTTCACTTAACTAATGATTGTACAGCACAGATCAAACCATGAACACCTGCTCTACTGTTTCCCCCCTATGCCCATGATTTACTATAGCTCAGGAGCTGCCTATATAAAATGCTTTCCCTCATCACCTCTAAGGTTTTTGAAGTGCTTGTTTTACCTCACTTTTGATCATTCAGACCCAGCAGCTCTCAAGTGAGCAAGCTATGAGTACAGACATAGGTCTGTCTAGCACAACTTTACATCAGTGGAAAACCAGAAAATTCCTCCTCTCTCTGGCTGCTCTTTTTAAACTCTCAGGGTGCAGAAAATTTTCATGCAATGTGAAAACAACAGGTTTCACCATGGTTAGCTGCCTCCAAAAGAAATGCTTCAATTAGGGGGACAAGAACCAATGGCACTGGCAACAGTGCCTACAGGCTTTACCCTAAATGGCCACACCTGCTGAACTTGGCCACAGTTGGAACAAAGCCTCTTCTGAAGATCCCCACATAGAATTTTACTTTTGTAAACTTGTGTTTACTTACGTGACTTAACTTTGTGTAAGACAATGCCACACAGAGTAGTGTGAAACTCTAGAAAATGTAGAGCTATGTAAAATGTATGCTCCCTGTATGCTCCTAAGAATATTTTTAAAACATGCTCAAAAAGCTTTAGAGAAGTGCTGTAACTAGACACTACCAACATAATCCTGTAGCAGTACCTACTCTGAAGCAATATTTCTCCCTCACCCTTTGAAGTTCTGGTCACCTCTGCAGCTTCTGCACTTCATTGTGCTTATCACAGTATTACAACAACTTTTAGATAAGGATTTTGTATAGATGGAGCACAGTTTCTACACTTAGTTACCTAATTCATGGGGAAGCTCGTGACAAAATACTGCTATAGATGTACTAATTCCTCCTGTCAGTCCAGCACTAAAAGCTGCTCCTAGAAAAAAAAAAGGAAAAAAAAATTAAAATTATATTTCACTATTTTCATGTCAGAAAATCAATTGACTTTGCAGAGCTGACACCCTTCTGTTAGAATGCACACTAATATCTTTCAGTATGTCTGTGTCCTGTCTGTATACAAATGGGAAATACTGGAAGCACCCTGGATGTGCATTACCACTGCAGGCTTCATTACTCATTTATCTGCAAGGCACACCCTGGAGAGGAGAACACAACTGGCCAAAAACGAGATATAAAGACAGCAAGCCAATAAATAACACCACTTTTAGGAACTCTCCAGTACATGAGGGCAGTTGGGAATGTACATGAGCAAGAGTCTGGCTCTCTCCTTTCCAGCTTGGAAATCCAAACTAATGTTTAACCCATAACCTCTCTAGCTCCTTTGTACTTATTTTCAGAGAACATATCAGCAATATTAGTAAGCCAGACCTGGAAAATAAGGGTAAAAACATTGCCATAAATATCTTTCAGTACTTTTGCATAAGCTAATTGAATTCAGTCAACTTTAATGTCATACCTTAAATAATTCTGAGATGAGAAAACTGGTATTAAATTTCTGTACTATAGCAGAGAAAAGCACAAAAAGAGCCTGCAGTGAGCAGTCTAAACAGGCTGCATAAAGCAGAAAGAAAAGACAGTCTGAAGACAGAGGGGGAATTTAACTTTCCTCTGGATTCCTTGTAGTTTGATACATTAAAAAGATGACCATGCTTTTCTAAAATCTACATTTTACCACAAATTCAGCTGTTTGGGCTTGACCTAGAAATATTCAGAAATGGAATTTCAATACTGTGAAGTTCTCAACAGAAGGCATGGCAATTGTTTTTGGCCTTAAAAGCCATTGTCTAAATGTCTTACCTGTTTTATGTGAAAATGAAGCAACAAGTTAGTTTTTAAGGAGTTTAGTTTCTTTAGAAGTTGTCAGAAGGAAATGGAGAAACTGTAGTAGATTCCATTGTTAACTAGAGACCCTGACAAATGCTTATGCCCCATCCATCAAAATGGGTGTGTCCCTTCTGCCATTAGTTCAGAACCCTGGGTACCCTTACTCTTAAGCAGCTACCTTAGTAAAAAATCCAAAGTGTGCCCTTCAGTCCTCCCACCATTATCCTGACTTGTATATCCAAATTAATACACTTTACAATTCAAATCACATTTAGAACATTGTGTGACTCCAAGTTGATTTAATAAATCTAATAAAATCTTTTTGGTACTTCCAATTTCTTCTGCACTTGGCTAGAAATAAATCTATACTAACTGTGAGCCAAAATAATATTTTGCTTAAATAAAGATTAAATTATCCTGAGTAATACTTTTAAAATATTATTTGTCACCTGACTCACAGTGTATTTTTATTTGTAAGTACTGTGTAATTCTATGTATTAAGAATAATATAAATAGTATTACTATTATTGTTAGTAAATATCATTCTAAATAAGGCTGAAAGGCATTTATTTATAATTCTAAGGCAACTGAGACCCAAAGAAGAAAGGTGGGTTACTGTGCTCCATAAATCCCAAGGTTTGCATGCACCAGTCTCTCCTTGGCAGAGACTGTGACTGTCACTGCTACTGATACACTAATTTTAGTGCAAATAGCACAGAATGCTAACAAAAGGTAAACTATTACAATTGACAGCCTTTTTATTTCCGCTCTGCAGGAGACTGAACAATGGCAGTAACCACAGGTGCTAACTGGAAGCCTTACCTGTGATTACTGATAAGTCAAATATTAGCAGAGTTACTAAAGGTAAGGAGAAACTGTTGAGAAATACTCAGTGCTTTTGCTTACCGATTGCTAAGCCATCACTAAAGTTGTGAATGCCATCTCCCATAATTACCATCCAAGCAATATTAGCTATCCCAGTATCTTTCAGGTCTTTTCCAGAATGACAGTGGCCATGGGAATGATGGGAATGTTTGTGATGCCAGTGGTGACTGTGTTTTCTAGCTATCATTTTATCTTCTCCATGGCTGTCATACTCGGAATCGTGCAGCTCGTGCTCTTGGGCGCCGTGGGCGACGTCGTTGTGAGAGTGGCGCAGGTTGTTCTCCTCTTCTGCAGGCAGGTAGTTCTTGGCAGGGGGCTCCAGCTGCCCGTCCAAGTCAGTCAGTTCAGTTTCATTCAGTCGGTCTTCAGACAAAACTGAGTCATCTGCTCCTGCATCCAGTCAGTTGGGAGAGACACTGAGTTAATTCCTGTTTAACCAGCAACCCCTGCACCCCTGGCCTAAGGGTTAACTGCTCTGGGAAAGCAAAACAAGTATTTTAACACATCCCACTCTAGCAACTTGGTTGTCAGCATTCAATCCGAAAACTAAGTCTGTCATTGAGGCATTTTGTCACAAATGTGCATGTACAATCTATAAAATTCTCCACTGCAAGGCAGCAGCGCTGCATCCATAGCACTCAAAGCCAGTTTTAGCCCAGCCTACACTCATGCCTGTAATTTTGCTACTAACAAAGTTTATGGTTCAACACTGGCAAAGGAGAGTTGCCAGAATGATGATAATGTCTTAGAGCTTTGGATGGGATCTGAATGGTTTAGCAAACCCCACCTGCCTCTGTCTGCATGTGCCCATACAGGTCACAGCTCAGCCTTCACTGTCATGCAGACATTTCAAATTATGTTCCAACCCCTGCACTGCTGAAAACTTTCCATGTTCTGTGTCAGTGCCCCAAAGCCCATTTGAGATTGTTTGCATGGAGAAGGCTGCAGTCCTAACCCTCTCTTCTACAAACCAATCAAATTAAATAAACCTAATTTGTGCAAATAAGTTCCTCATCAACAAATTAATTCTGCTGCCATGCAGGCAAAAGAATCGGAAGGTTATGAAGCAAACCCTTTGCCCCTCTCTCCCCCTGTGAGAAGGGGGATAGAGCATTTCTTCTGGGTACACACAGAATGAGCATCCACAGCCTGTCATGAAGGAACAGTGTGCAAAAGTTGTTTTGGATACTTGAGGAGTATTCAGGATACTTGGCTGTATTTGTGGAAAGAAACAGATTTTGTTTATCTGTAACTGGTCAGATGTTGGCTTCTTTAAAGTGGAAGATATCCCCATTTATTGTGTGGGTGTTCATTTTTGATCTCATTTTTGCCAGGGCTGAGCTAGTCAGTAACAGCTTAACCAAAACACCAGAAACACCCTGAAAACAAACAAACAAACAAACAAGCCAGCAAACAAACAAACTCCCAAAGGCCCACAGCCACCCAAAACATGACTGCTTCAGAAGTCTGAGAACCATCTCTATGGCTTATTAGGAAATGTTCATAGTGCTCCCAGATCTAAAGAAAACAAAATAAAAAAGATTTAATAGGGAAAAGCCTATTAAGTCTTATTAACAATGATTTGCATAATAGCAGCAAAACTGTACAAGAGGTTACATGCTACACACCATGCCCCAGTAACCTGCTCCTACTTCGGATCTCCCAGTCAGAGAATTCTGACAGTAACTGCCTACCTGCAAGGGGTTTCAGCTGAAGCCAGTCAGCATCTGGTCTGTTATTTAATTTGTGATCAGAGAGTTTCCTTCCAATTGGTGATTCTTCCAGCTGGGGTTTTTTGCACCATTTCTGCTTACTCTGCAACAGAAAACAGGTAACATCTGGTTTGTGACAGGACATTGATGGAAATAACAGGAACTGAAATGCTGTCCAAAAATCTCCTAAATAGATCAAGCCATTCTCTCTTACCATGTATGACAGAAATATGTTACTTCTGAATATTGATCTTTATAAGGCTCAGCAACAATCCCTATTCCAGTGGGAGTTCTTGGCTACTTACCACGGAATCTCACTCCCAGACTCTTACACAGAGATATATTTCACTTTAGTAAGAGGGGATATTCTGACAAGGATTGCTCTTATAGCTCAGAAATGCAGCTTTTAGATTTGTTCAAGAAAGCAAACTTGCAGCAAGAACAGCTCCTCTAATTTGTTCAACTTTGTTTTATTTATATTCCTGTAGCTTCCTTGTACTTCCCTTTAAGAAAGCAGCAAGCTTTTCTCTATCTGCAGCCCATAGAGCAGATCCCAAGGATTTGCCAGAGCAGCCTACGAGATTTAATTATTTAATTCATCTCAAAGAAGTTATGCACGATATAACAGTTTTCATCCTTTTATCAGAAGATCTAAGAAATGCCTCCTCCAACACACAAAATCTGCTGCTGCCTGTCCAGCTCAGACAGCAAGTCTGACATGAAAACAGAGAAGCTGAAAAGTTTTCACAGTCATTTTGGGAGAAGCAAGTTGGATTTCACCAAAATAATTTTCTCCTCAGAGGTGAATGACAAAGGCAAAGGCTAAAACTGAATTTTCATCCACACTCACACTCCCCAGGGTACTTGCTCTCATTTTATACCCCCACCACAAATACAGAGTGCTCCCACCACTAAAAATCCAATCATTTTTTGAGAAACAAGTTAAAATTTGACCGGCAATTTACAGAAAGCAGATCTGAAAATTTTAGCATTTTTCTGATGTGGAAAACGTGGACACCTCTGTTACACTGGCATTGTTAGGTAAGAGCATACTGCTAAATTTCTTGTCAATTGTCTGACAATTTCTGGTTCTATAACCAGATCTTTCTTACCTGATGCTTTCGTCTGTTTTTGCAAATAAACCTAGGAAGCTTTAGATGCAGCTTCCTCCATCAGATTTCTACACTGTTCTCCCAAGTTCCCTTGTTGAGAAAAGCAACTTCTTTAGGAAAGGGATCCCTCACATAACATCAGACAGAATACACAGCAGCAGCAGCCTTTGTTCACAGAGGAAGCACAATTCCTCAGCACTCACAAGGTAGCTTTAGGGAACACATTTTTGAACAGCAAACAATTTCAGCACCTACCTTCTGTTTATTGTAATGTTTGTACATTCTTATACAGTGCTCAATGATGAAGAGAACATAAATGCCTCCAAGTGCCAAGAGCCCCTTGAGCACGGGGTCATTTTCCTCCAGGAAGCCCTCGGCGTGCACGGCGTGCGCGTGGCCGTGCCGGTGCGAGTGCCTGTGCTCGTGCACGTGCCCTTGGCCATGGTGGTGGCTGTGGTTGTGGCCTCCGTGCGACTGGGGGAGAGACAAGAGTGACACCACTGGGGCAGACATGACACTGAGGTGGCACTGGGCCAGAAGAGACAACAGAAACCCCCACCCTGTTTTGCTTTTTCTTCACATTAACACATTTTGCCACATAAGTTTTTCAATAGATAATTCATTACCCTAATCAGTAAAAAAATTTCTCTGGGATTTTTTTTTTTTTTTTGAGGAGGTAGATTATGTAGCTTCAGCTTTTCTGTCACAATGCAGAAAATGAGACTAACACTCAGAAATATCAAAAGGAATTACCATTCTTAGTCTCCCATTAGCAACCAAGCCTTATGACTTTTTAAATTGTTACAGTCAATTACAGACTAAATTCTGATCTGAAATATGAACTTAAAAAAACCCCTAAAACCACAACCAAAAATGCGTATTAGAAGTATACAAAGAAAACATGTAAATATTAGTCTTTGTGCTAAACAATGGAGGTGACAGAATTTTAGAAAACACTTCCCCTTTTAAGAATTACAGTACACCACCATGAATTAAAAGCTGCTCACCTTCCTTAGGGAATTGCTCGATTCAGTACATGAGAGGTTACTTTCTCCCTCACATATAGCAAGCAGGCAGATTAATCCCCAGGAAATACTTTTAGATACTGACACACAGCTATCAGTAAACAAGAGACAGCAATACTGCTAATTTTAAAATACTCTTGTTGGGCTCCTGGTTGTTTTACAATAGTGTGACGTCAGTTCAACAATGAATATGCAACTACTTTTCCCCACCTTTTGTTCAGAGAAACAACATTTCCTTCCCTTCTGTCAGCAGAAAGTCTCCAGAAGTGTTGGTGTCCCTCACAGTCAAGTCAATCTACAGGTGCATCAGTGAACCTTTCTTTATTGATACTATCAAACAATTCCTTGAAAATTCTAGACTCATTTGCAATTAAGAATAAAAGGTGAGGAGACCATACTTACATGTGGCAAGAGATGGAGCAGTGCATCTCCACTCATTGTTCCTACAGCCAGAGCTACCAAGAAAGTTAGAAGAAATTTGAAGCACCATTGGTTAATGATGGGAACCAAGATCACACCTAGCAAGGAAAGCAGGCTAATGACGGTGATAGAGATGATACCACAAAACCAGGCTGTGGGAAGAAATGAACACAGAGAGGTTATCAGAACAACATCTGGAAAACTTCTAAGCCTGATTAATGACTTTCAACTATCTCTTAAGAAGGTGACTTTCCTTTAACCTAAGCTGTGTGATTGTTCATTAAGAAGGTGCTGAAAAATATAAAGGCAGTACTTAAGTCCACAGCAAACCAGAACTACACAGGCTTATTCACAGCACAGTATAATGTAGTGAGACATCAGAAGACAATTAGCTAGAAAGAGCCCAGCAATTCTTCCTGATTGTTAGTTCCAGGCTTAGCTTTGCAGCCCTCCATGAAACTAAAAACTAAAGGTTTTATAGTGGGACAAAGCCATCTCTGCTACTTAACTTGCAAGGGCCCTACAAGCACTAATGTGTATGTAACAGTTGTTTTTAATATGGTTCTGATGCAAAATTTTTCTGGATTCTGTATTTCTCCCTGTTTGGAGTCACACATTTAGTTTGGCACTGTTTATTTCACCTGGTGCTTTGAAACATACACCTTTATTCATGAGAGGACTCAACCTTTGGCAGAGGAACTCTCAAATCGAATGCTGCAACACGAGCTTGAACAGCTAAAAGCAAC